AGACTTCACTGGTTCCAAAATCCTGTTTTCGTGTTTTCTCAACACCTGCTGTTTTCATGTTGAATTTTTAAAAAATTCGGACCAGTCAATTGGTGAATTTTGTTTCAAATAGAAGACCATAAATGTTGTCTTCATCTTTTTGAAGATATTGTGTGAATTTTTGTTTCCAATCAATTTATCGACTGAGTCTGAGAGATACCTATTACTTTCAGCCATTTAATGGCTTTACTTTCTAATTTCTTGGATATATTTATATCAAAGAAGTTTTGACATTTGTTAAAGTGAAGTAAATTCCTGAAAATTAAAAACAAATTTTGAAGACACTATAGAAGATTGATCTCTCATAACTAGAAAACATACTAATTTCTAAATCTTGGCTTGGAAGGAAAAGTACATCAGTTTCTTCTCAACACGTTTTTATAATTGCCCGTTTGCATTATAATATAATTCCGTCACTTGCTTTTCAAAACCATTTTCAAAGTTCATGATAGCCACCACAAAAGGTAACACTAATATGGAGCACCCTGTATTTCGGCGGACAACGAAACTTACGAATTTATCTAGAAACTAAGGTAACCAGAATGGCCTGATAGTGAAGAACCGAAAACGTTCAAGGATGTTTATAAATAACTTATTGATACGTTAGACTAACCATTGCTACGAAATATAAAATATTATTTTTAATAAGTTCTTATCGAACTAAAAGTTCTTTCATACCGAATGAGGACGCTCGATGACCTACAACCTTATCTCAGTCATTGTGGATACCCCACTTACAAAACAAATAATGAGCTATTTGAGAATTTCGTCATTAATTTGCTGACATCGTTTCAGAGTAAAATAAGGCGACAATAGAAAATCCAAACGATTATCTTTAACAATTAAACGAAAAAAATAGGTGCGCTATTAAGCATGTGATCTGATGTACATATCATTCTTGATTCTGCTTGATAAAGTTTCACTATGTGTGACGCTCGAAACATAGGTTGATTTTAAAAAAACTCCCAGGAATACATGAATTTGTATCGTGTATCGGACAGATACTTTTTTGTAGGATACAAAAAATGCTAAGTTGATGTAAAACTGCTACTTTGATAAACCTACATCGTTTCCAAAGTTAATAGTTTTATCGTATTAACAAAGACACTCCAATGTCAGATTTCCAGTTGAATAGCATCTTCCGGCGTCACAATACTGTATTGTGACGTCTGAAGATGCGATTGTATAGCGAAACCCGAGTCGCGATAAACTTTTAAGTGTGTTTTTTGAAAACGTTATACGTTTCATCGTGTATCAGTCAGATCTATCATATTTTCAGAATTCTATAGCTTATATTGCCATCTGCTTTTGTCCTTTGAGTTTAGTTGAGTTTAGCAATGCATGCGTAATTAAGCCTAGCACCAGTAACGAGACAGTACTGCCTGGTGTTACATCATGAATACTTTGATTTTAGGCTCTGATTTCAACTAGTTGCCTTGTAGTGAAAACTACAGAGACAAAGAAAAACTTTTGTGCAGCGGTAGATGTCAAACCTTCGCTATGCAAGTGACCTCTTTGGGGAGTTTCGTCAATCGCATGGTAATTGCTTTTATGTCGATCCCATGTACGGCGTTTTTGGAAGGGTACTATATGGGAGTTAACATACTGCGTTATCACATAAAAACCTAATTTTGCTGAAAAATCTAGGTATTTCAATCAGCTACGACTATTTTTTGGCACCTTGGGAGCTGTCTGACTTGTCCATTTAGTCCAAGTCTCCAGAAAACACTGCAGCCTCTTGGGCTTATGGCGTTTATTCTCCCATTTTCTCATGACACTCATTCCATCAGTCTCGTTTCCTGTACTAGTTTGTACAGGTTCCGTCTTGGATGTTTGTCATAGTCTTCTGGACGTAATTTCGTACGTCCTTATATTCCTTCCTCCTGTGATTCAGTGCCTCACAGTCGCATAAGATTTGTAGAGCTGTTTCTATCCCTTCGTTACATAAGCTGCAGCTGTATAGCCCCATTTTATTCAGGTGTCCTCTAAGCGGACAATAACTGGTTAGTAACCCTGTAATTATTCTGAGCCGATCCCTACTATATTGAAGTAGTTCCCGGTTCTTTTCTCGGACGGTTTCCTAATGAAGGTTCTACTGTGTTTGTTGCCGGGTACTTTTGTCCAGTACTCTGTGTGCTTCTTATTGATCCATGTCCTAATCTGGTTTCGTATCAATGATTTTGGTACCCTCAGATCTGATTCAGGACCTATACAGGGTGTCCCTGGACTTCCTCTTTTTCTCTCGGGAATGTATAGATTGGGTCAAAATATCACCAGTACTTCATATAACTTTTTTTCCTAAAATCCTTCGTTACCAAGTAACGGGCCCTCGAAGTTACAAAATGAAAAATGTTTTTCTTTGATAACTTTTCAAGTGAATATTCAAAATCATCCAAATTTTGGTAATTGACTAAACAAATGAATTCCTTTGATGAGCTTTCATGCAGGAGTCAGTTGTTTTGCTACAAAGTCAGGAACGGACTACCCCCGATGGTCCACACCCCAAAACTTTGAAATGACAGATATTTTTCAATATTTTTCAACAAATTAAGGTTACTTGGACAATTTTATGAATAAAAGTACTCGTGTGGAAAGTCGATCGGAGCAACGAGTCTTGATAAAAATGTAGTTTCACTCGACGACATCAAACCCGCTCGTCCACCATTATTTGAAATGAATAATTATCAAAGCAGAAATAATAATGATAACGTTAATTCAACAACATTTATCCTGAGATGTCTACCATTATTCGAAAATATTAGTTTTTAAGGAAAATGGAAATGATAGGTAAAATGTTCATAACGAATTTTTATAATGCAAACACGTTTAACTAACGAAACTCAAGAGCCTCAAATGAAATGAAAAATCCGCTACAGAAACTGCTCGATATGACCACCTTCTCTCTCTATACATTTTCTTAGTCTGCGAAGACACCCTCTCTGTACTTGAAATAGCATTCCAGGGTCGTTTCGTATGGCTTCACAATGTAATGTTATTCTATTCAACAATGCATCTCTTGTGTGAATAGGTGTAGCGTAAACAAGGCTTTTTAGATGCTCCCACAGAAAGAAATCCAATGGATTTAAATCCGGAGACCGCGATGGCCATGAATATGGCCCACCTCTACCAATCCATCTCTTGTGGAAAATATGGTTCAGATGGTCACGCACAATCAAACTAAAATGATGAGGAGCGCCATCATGCATAAACCACATATCTCTTCGGGTTTGCAATGGAACATGTTCCAAAAGTCCATTCAAATCGTTCTGAATGAACTCCAAATAACGTTCTCCATTCAATCGGTCCTGTAGAACGAATGGTCCTATAAGATGGTTTCCTATGATACCAGCCCAAACATTCACGTTGAATTTCCGTTGGTGTTTGGTTTGCAATATCCCATGGGGATTTTCTTCGGCCCATATATGGAGATTATGAGAGTTGATAACTCCATCTCTACTGAAACCTGCTTCATCAGTGAATAAAACTCGATTAATAAAAGTCATATCCTCTCTTTGCCTATCCATGAACCAATTGGCATATTCCAGTCGTGCTGGAAAATCTTGAGGTGTCATGGCATGTACCTTCTGGATGTGAAATGGGTGGAGCAGTTGTTCCCTAATTATTCTATGAATAGTGGACTTGGATGTATGGAACTGTTCTGATAAATTTCTGATGCTCATTGAAGGATCATCAGCGACGGCTTCCAAAATATTTTCCTCCAATACAACGGTACGTACAGTCCTAGGAGCGCCCTCACCACCTCGTTTTGGCAAAACTGTACCTACAATAATATTGAAATAAAACAACGTGCTCAAATTAATTATCAATGACAATATTTGTGTGTAGCAAATGCATTGATGGACACTGGCCTAATTAATATGCGTCCATATTTCAAGTAAATGATAACAGAAAAAAGAATCTCCGTAGATTTCCAAAAATCGCTATTGGGTATTCGCTTTCAAAATGAGCAATGCGGAAGGGGCATATGCATATAGGAAGATCAATTAATACCATTTACTGTTGATATTCCTCAATGTATGCCGGTAGTTCATTTTATTTTTTTTTAATCACTCTTACCTGAAAGATGTCTCGAATTTTTTGCACTCTATTTAGAAAGCTAGATGGAGCCTGGAAGCTTCAATCTGTTACGAAACTGCCATTATTCATTTACTTTTTGATCATCTCATCTATTGCTAGGTCGGTAGCCGGTCGATTCGACGTGGATGCTTTTTCACTCACACAATTGTCAGCTGTTTGAGTCGGTGGTTCAAGCCGCAAGCTGAACGATCGATTTCACATGCTATCGCCCAACTCGTGCTAAGAATCACATGTTAAATAGTGAGACCTCGTTATTCCTTAGCTCGCACAAGTTTCGACATCTGAGGGTTGTCGTTCGTAGGGATGCGACAGCTGGTTAACGGAAAAACATATATTTTTTTATTGCAGTAGGTTCAACAAAAACCTCCTCATGTTCCTGTTTTAGTTTCACACCTAGCTCTACTGCTCGTTCATAACTTCATTATTTTTCCCTTCTGACAATACCATGCCCTTGAGGTTCTGTGGTTTTGTGTTTACCATATATAAAAACCACATTGTTACATACTACTTGTTCCACCGCTGCCACCAAACGTCAGGTTTTTGGGCAAGGAACACTTGAGTGTGTTCTACATTTTTAGTGATTGAATAATCTCCAGTAACATTTTGAACATATAGACTTTAAACAAGTACAGTCCTTACAGATCTATAACTCCCACTGACAGTATTTTAAAATTTTGAGAGCACTAGTAAAGTATAGGTAGCTTAACGTTTACTAGATAGCGAGTATGTTCGCTTCCAGAGTGTTCTTTCTTTAACCAAATTTGTGCTAAAGAAATTGACAAGGAAAATTATCCATGAAGCTTACGATAATTCAAGCGCGATACTGACCACCACTCACTTTCTCTCTTCCTATGTCATTTCAGTGAAATAAATTCCAAATGATTTTGAAATGCCTCAATGTGCGGTAGTTGGTTGTAACAGTACGCATAGAAAGACCAAAGGTGGCTCCATCCGCTACCACAGATTTCCCGGCGATTCGAAAACACGCAGTAGCTGGCTCAAAGCCTGTGGAAAACAATTGCACAATTGTTCGACCGCTCGCATTTGTTCGCGTCATTTCACCGACGAAAGTTACGAACGAGACGTGCAACACGAGATACTAGGTTTGCCTACTAGGTGTCGCTTGAAAAAAGGAGCGATTCCCGAAAAGAACCTACCGACGGACTTCTTGAAGGAAGAAGAGGTTCAGGAGAGCGCTTACGATATCTTATTGGCTGTCGGATTGGTGCCTACGGTGCAGCCAACTGAGAAAACATCAGGTGGACTTCCCGAAGAGTAAGTATATGTGATCTGTGTAATTGATGACCTGTTTATTCTGTGGAAATTCATGATCACTTTAATGAAATGTGTGAAAAACACTTTTGTCTCATTTTCACTAGTTATTTCATCTTTACTACCGGTTTCGGATTTTTCCCTATCATCACTAGTTGAAATTAGATAAAAGTGCTTTTCATTCATTCCATTAAAGTGAATATATATGCGTTGAAAATTTTGAGAGTATGCTATTGTGAATGATTTTGTCATCATGTTTTTGAGGTATTTTGATATCGCACAAAAATAAGAAGTCATATTCAATCAATATTTTCTTTTAATTTCATATAATGAAAATTTATTGTTAGAAAAATTATCAGAGATATTGTGAGGTTTAGGAACATGAATATGAAATGATTTTTGACTCTGGTATCACCCGTTTCTTGCTTGAATTGAAAGATGAAGAAAAAGTAGAAACCGAATCTCATTTATCGGTCCATTCTGAAGCCTGGATCATTTCTGGGAACCTCATTTGAGTTTTCCGTCGACACCACAGTTAGAAGAGAGATCAACTCCAGTGACACCTGCATCAATGTAGGGGATCCAAATAATAGATAGCACTATCCGTATTTATTTTGATATTGAAAAAATACATATCATATACCTTAGGATCTTATTTTCACTAATTTGTATCATGTACATTGTGAGGCTTTCAAAAAATTATTCAAAACTGAATTATACCTTATGTGTATATTGAGAACAAAAATCTCTTCGGCACCCAACGTGGGGCCAAGATCTTTATGAGCCCGAAATTATTCTAACTAGTATAACCACCATCAACTGACAATTATGATATGTATCTCTATAAAGTCACGAAATTTTGGAAAATTCTGGTAATATTTACCTCTATAAAGTCAACAAACCTTGGAAAATATTGAATTTATGAGATTCGAGGCAGAGAATATCATGATGAACATTGTTTTACTTCAGTGTTCAAGAGAACAGACCCATTGGCATTCAGCTAACTGAGAGATTCAATTGCTTTTGGGAAAACAGTAATGTTCAATCAAACTGAAGGTTTGGAGATATCATTATAGAAAGCCTGATGGTTTTTGATACTCATTCACGCGTTTTGGGCATCACACAAGTCAAATCCTTGGATGAGGTATTCACTGTTATTGAAGAAGATCCCATGAACTAACTTATTCTTATATAGCCCCAGAAGTATAGTATTGCATTTCACAACAGTTTTTATGTCGGCCTTCCGCTGGAAGAGTTTCAATTTGGTGACAACTAATCACCCCATTCGGTACTTAAACAAGGCTAGTCCTTTCTTCTTCATGACTATGTCCCTTTCAAGACTTACAATTTTAATCCAGAATTGTTTCATTATTTAGATACTCAAGCCACTATTTCAGTTTTTGCATATAATAAGTGATTTTTTTGCTGGTATCTTTTTGACAACACCGTTTTTGACAGATCACGCGTGAATCGTGTCTTGTGTGATTATCAAACTTGTTCAGTTTGGTCTATAATTCAACCATGAATCGACTTACGAATGAACAACGCTTGCAAATTATTGAATTTTATCATCAAAATTCATGCTCGATGAAAAAAATGCATCGTGCACTTCTTCCAACTTATGGACAGTTTCGTCAGCCTACTGAGGGAGCTATTCGGAAGTTTGTGACTGAATTTCGAACCCAGTTTACATTATTGGACATTAAACCACCAACACGCATACGTAGAGTGAGGACCGAAAAAAAAATTGCGGCTGTATCCGCCAGTGTTCGTGATGACCGTGAAATGTCGATTCGCTGCCGTTCGCAACAATTGGGCCTGTGTTACTCCACTACGTGGAAAATTTTGCCAAAGAATTTGGGTGTAAAACCTCATAACATACAGCTGGTGCAAGAATTGTAGCCACACGACCTTCCACAACGTCTAATATTTGATGAATGGGCCCTGGCAAAGTTGAAGGAAGATACACATTTTTATCGAAAAATAGTGTTCAGCCACGAGGCTCATTTCTGGTTGAATGGATATGTCAACAAGCAAAACTGCCGCATCTGGAGTGAAGACCAGCCGTAAGCATTGCAAGAGCTACCGATGCATCTCAAAAAAGTCACTGTTTGGTGTAGATTATGGGTCGGTGGCATTATTGGGCCGTACTTCTTCAAATATGACGATGACCGGAACGTTACTGTGAATGGCGAGCGATACGTGTGATGATTGACTTTTTGTTGCCCAAAATGGAAGAAATGGACTTGCCTGACATGTGGTTTCAACAAGACGGTGCCACATGCCACACGGCACGCGAAACAATGGCCCAATTAAGAGCCGCCTTCGGTGAACAGTTTATCTCATGTTTGTGGCCGTCAATTGGCTGATTAGATCGTGTGATTTAACGCCTTTGGATTATTTCTTGTGGGGTCATGTTGAGGCTCATGTCTACAGGGATGAAGTAGCAACGACTGACGCTCTGGAAGCCACTATTGAAGCATTTATACGTGAAATACCGGTCGATGTGTTAGAAAGACTGTGCCAAAATTTGACCTTGCGCCGCGGACAACATTTGCATGGAATAATCTTCAAACAGCTAATCATATTGATCGTTCTATCGATTCCAATGAAGATTTCATTAATTTTTTTCAATTATTTTGTGCTGTTTTGAAAATCAAATCCTATACCTCTAAAAAAATCATTCGTTATTTCATTCACATGAATGTTTCTTCGACACTTCGAAAATTTTACGTGAAATCGATGTTTTTTCACACATATTTTGAGGCATTGTTGAATTCTACTCATTTCAATTATCAAAATTTAAAAAATTAACTATGAATTTTCAATAAAATTGTTCTTTACTAAAAAGTTTGTATACTACATCCATGTTAGGAATCACACGATGAAAGGTAAGACCTTGTTAGTTTTCAATTCGCACAAGTTTTGACTTCCGAGGGTTGTCGTTCGTAGGGGTGCGATAGCTGATTAACGAAAAAAAAATTTTTGTGTTTATGCAGATTCCTGAATATTGAATGTTTCATGGTTCAAATTGAGAATAATAGATCTGCAATCATCAATTACATTTATTCATTCAATTTCACAACATATTGTTGTGGAATTGGCCACGGTGGTAGTGCGCCTGACTCACGATCGGAAGACCGTGGGTTCGATTCCTGTCTCGACCAGATATTTTCCTCGAGAGAATTTATCTGGTTGAAGCTGGGATGATTCTGCCACCGTGTTAGGAATCACACGTTAAAAGGTAAGACCTCGTTAGTCCTTAGCTCGCACAAGTTTCTCAATTTCTGAGAGTTGTCGTTCGTATGGGGGCGACAGCTGATTACGGAAAAACAAATTTTAAACAGAACCGACAGACAGACACATACGAGGTCTGTTGAGAAAATAAGGTGATAAATCATGGGTATATGACAAAATGGTGGAGGCTTTCACGGCCGAAATTTTCAGTGTCACTATTTTTCGGGTTCAAAAGCCGTGGATTTTTGAAACTCCTTCCTGACGTTCATCTAGCTAACTTCTTCAGAGGTTTATACATCCTGGATTACTATCCGATGACTGAAAATTACGGTTTCGTAACGCGTATTCATTCTGTGTAAGGTAGGTTGGAGTGCTAAAAACTCTACCATTAGGTAATTTGTGGTTGACATTCATTGACTCTTTTTTACCTGTCGTCATGCTGTTTGCTATACTTGAACTTCTTAGAATGGGATCCTATATTCGATTGAAGTGTTTGTGGATCTCTATTGCATCCCGTACCAGTCGGCTGTGGGATCCCTGGTTGATTTCTGTGTTTTCAAATAGAATCCTGTGGTTTCCTTCACTAAACGTGTTCTGCCACAGCTGACTTGTCCGTTTGGCCTAGTCTGCAGTTTCTTTCATGCTCCTTCAGCCTTGTTACCATGTATCTTTTGGTGGTTCCGATGTATAACTTCCCACAAGTGCCTTTATGCGATATACCCCTACTGCTGATAGTGGTTCCCTTTTGTCTTTTGCCGATCTGAGACTTTGTTGTATTTTCCTGGTGCTGCCTCGCTGGGGACCGAATCAGGTTTTTAGAGTTCGGCAGAGTCATACTCTTCCCATCTGACCTGAAAGACCACTCACCATACAAACTAATCGGCTTTGTTGAGAAGCTGAGTTCATTTGGTCGAGAATAAATAGCTGTGAGCAACAATGAATCCTTGCGGTTGCGGTGGAGGGTCGAATGGACCCATTCACGTTGGACCTAACCTACCTTTCTTGTGGGATTGAAAACGTTTTGATGTCGTGTTTCCGCAATAGATTTCCAATTCTGTCTATGACCTTGGGATATACAGTAGATACGCGCGTGGAATCACCTGCTCCTTCTTCCCTTATCAAACCGTATGACTGTTCAGTTTCATGGCTTTGTTGATCTCGAGTACACTGTATCTATTAGATTTCAAGTTCACTCGAAGTTGTTCTAGTTCTTCCTATAGAACTAGATGCTCTGGTTCATATATTCTCCAAGCCCGTTCCGTTAGGGTCATCCCCACTCTAACAGAACGACAGCATGACAGCAGGTCGAAAAGATTCAATGAATGTTAACGACAAATTACCTAATCCAGGTACATATATTAGCACTCCAAAATACCTGACACAGCATAAATACGCGTTACGAAACCGTAATTTTCAGACATCGAATAGTAATCCATAAATCCATGTATAGATCTCTGAAGAAGCTAACCAGCGTCAGGAAGACATTCCAAAAATCCACGGCCTCAGAACCCGAAGAATAATGACACATGGCTATATGGTTATAACATCGAAACCAAAGTCCATTCGTCCTAATGGAAGAGCCCAGGAGAGCCATACCAAGAAAAGCACGCCAAGTTTGATCAAATGTCAAGGTTTTCTCACCGTGGTGTAGTTAATAAAGAGTAATATCTTGAAGTTATGCATCGCTTGCGAGAAGCAATACAAGAAAACCTGTTTTGTGGAAAACCAGTTCAGGGATTTTGCATCACGATAACCAAAAAGAACGC